GTATATTTGGCGTTCACTGTGCTTCTTTGAGATGTTACAATCTGTATAGTAGGAAGTAATCTCCACAAACACATTTAAACGAACGTTATACATCTCGCCAAAGTTATGTACAAAAACGTCGTCACACAAAAATTTGGTTCTGCAGTAAATACGTATTCTACGAATAATGGCAAGTTACTGAATCTTTGTATTACAATACTGGAGTAAGGACGTATGTATGTGGAGATTTAAAAGAATTTGAAATGATATACAGATTTTGAAAGATGATGAAGATTACGTCGCGTGTACACGTTAAGAAATTCGTCGTTTCTGCAACAGAAACAACGATAATGGCCTTATACACGACAAGAATTTTGTCGGATCTAGCCACGAAAATATTTTCGTGTCTGTTGCATACATGAAAATGATGAGTATGTACACGATACGAATGCTTTCGGGCAGATGTCTGTAGGGTAAACGTGTCAGTGCACTTCCAGGTAGCTGTCGTTTTACTACCGACTGTGTGAAGAAATATGTTGACTACTAATTAAAAAAAATGGTGATTGCAAATTATATGTATAGAATAATAAATATTATATTTCTCACCATGCCTCAAAAGTACGTCGTTTATCTTTATAAATCTCTAAGGTTTTGTCCCACAATACGGGTCGTTCCACTACTAAACTTATAAATAAATCATGCATTTTATTAGTTGCAATGAAATTAGTGGTGCAACAGTGGTACTTTGCAAAATTAGTCCACGCGCATAAATGTTCGTTTACTGACAATGCTCCCTATGCAATAGCGGCAGAGCGCGTCGCGTCGCGGGTAGACAAGATTTTTTTCTTGTCCGGCGCCGAGGCTGTGTACACAGTTCGTGTGTAGAAACGACACGTATTCTTGCATAGACCCGGCGACTTTTCTTAGCGTATACACACGCCCTTAGACTGTACTATAGAACTAGTCTGAGTAAAAGAGGAATGTTACATTGTTTGTTGTTATTGTAGAAAATTGTACTAAAGCCTCAGGACATTTTTCTGATAGTAAATTGTTGTTGTAAAATGTTTCAACACAAAAAGGTCCACATGTATACAAGAGCAGAAGGAAGTTTGAGGAGTATGATACTTTTTGTAATAGTGGATGAAAGATTAGGAAAAAAGGTGCTTGACACGCGAGTATACCGCGGAGTTGGTATCGACACCGACCACTTTCTGGTGGTTAGCCGAATAGCTGGACTTTTTACAAGGTGGCGGCATCGAGTAAAGGTACCTGTTAGTGTGCTAGAACGAATAAAAGTTGAGAATTTGCAGAAGACAGATGTGAAAAATGAATATGTGAGTAAACTGACTGAAAGGTTTGATGGACTAGACGAAGTACGTAGGATTGAAGATTTATGGAAGCTATTTAAGGAAGGAATGGTAGAGGTCGCTACTGATGTGTATGGAGTATCCAAAAGGAAAAAGGGCTGAAGACGAGGAATGTTTGTTTGGATGAAGATGTCCGGAATATTCTGTCTAATAAGAAGAAAGCGTCGTTAGAATGGTTATCTATGAAAGCTAATGAAAGAATACGAAAGGCAACGGAAGAGGGTGTAAACGAGGCAAGGAAAGAGTATAAAAGAATAAAACATGTAGCGAAAGATGTTGTAGGAAGGAAGAAAGAATGCCAGAAAGACGAGTTTGACAGGAGGTTATCTGATGACTTTCAAAGCAACCTTAAGTGCTTTTAGAAGTCCTTAAGAACAGCTAGAGGCAAAAATCACAACCTCGCACCTGCAAAAAATCCGAGACCACGATGGAAGTATAGTGAAAGGAGAAGAATGCGTATTAAAGAGATGGAAGGAGTATTTTGAAAGTTTGTTTGAGAAGGAAGATGTACAAATGCAGGCTCAGATCGCCATAGAGACGAGCCGAAGTCAAAATAAAAGTATAAGCATGGAAGAGATTATGAAGGCATTGAATACTATGAAATCTGGTAAAGCTGCGGGATATGACAGAATTGGTGTTGAAATGCTGAGGGCTGGACAGGGTGTGATCGCTAGTCAGCTGTACCGCCTTTCAACCTTTGTTGGTCAAGCGGCCGAGTGCCAGGAGACTGGGGCAAGGCTGTCATCGTACCATTATATAAGGTAAAATGGTCGCAGCAAGAGTGCAAAAATTACCGCGGAATCAGTCTTCTCAGCATTGTCGGCAAGATATTTGCAAAGGTATTGATTGAGAGAGTGATGAAAGAAACGGAAAAAAAGTTTGAGACGTGCAAGCGGGACTTAGAAGACGAATGGGATGCATGGATGAGGTCTTCTCCTTGCGAAACATAACCGAAAAGTTTTTGGCTAAAAGATAAAAAGTCTATTGCGGTTTTATAGACTTGGAGAAGGCCTACGACAGAGTGTCAAGGAAAGAATTGTGGTCGACATTGCCTATGTATGGGGTAGACGGCAGTCTAGTTTAGGCACTGAAATCTCTGAAGATTCCAGTGCCTGTGTCAGAATAAATGGTGCTTACACTGACTGGTTCGATATCGGGAAACGTGTTAGGGATGTGTAGCGTCGCCATGGCTGTTCAACCTAATTATGGACAATTGTTTGAAAGTTTTGAAAGAGAGTACGTGTGGGCTGAGAATGAATGGCTTACTCATTAAGTGCCTCCTATACGCCGATGAACAGGTGGTATTAGCGTCGTCAGTGGAGGAGTTGCAGAAGATGGTAAATATTATGCATGGTGCTCTTAATAGGAAAGGAATGAAAATTAATGTGGGAAAGACAAAAGTAATGGTTTTTTAAATAGAGGAAGATATGACGAATTGCACGATATTGATTGAAGGAGAGAAAGTGGAACAAGTGAAAGAGTTTGTGTATTTGGGTTCTATGTTTACGTGTGATGAAAAATGTGAAAGAGACATTGAAAGAAGAGTGAAAACAGGGAATCAAGTGAATGGTGCCTTTCATACCTTCATGGGTAGCCAGAAAGTGTCTAAAAAGGCACGATTGGCTGTGCATGGGGAGGTGTTGGTTCTTACACTTATGTATGGTAGTGAATGTTGAGTTTGGCAGAAGAAGCATGAAAGTAGAATTAATGCAGTCGAATGGCTGGAGTGACTCGGGTGGATAAATTACGGAACAGTGTGATAAGAGAGCGTCGATTGAGAAAGGGATACCTAGATGGTTCGGACATGTAGAGAGAATGAATGAAAGAAGAGTGACGAAACAGATTTATAAGGCGAGTGTGAGCGGGCAAGTTGGTATGGACCGACCAAGGAGAACTTATCATGACCAAATTAAGACCTAAAGAATCCTATCCTAAAGAAGGACCAGGTCAAGAGTACCCTTAACCGACGAACGTTTATGAAAGCATTGATGCGTGTTGATGAGGCGGAAGATGTGTATCAGGACCGCAGCAAGTGGAAGACTGTTGTTTCTGCCTACCCCGATGGGAAAAAGGCGTGAAGTGTATGTATGTATGTAAATTATATACAAAATATCAAATTAATTTAATGTTAAGAATGCATGTACAAACGTAACAAATAAACATAATCTATCGAGGCGAAGATTTCAAGAAGAGGTTTCTGAATAAAAAATGAGAAGGACTTTTTTACTGCAAAAGGATTTAATTAACTGTATTGTTTGGGTATTCGTTTAAGCTGAATAACTAAGCTGAAAAAGTATGTAGTCATTGCATACACAAAAAACGCATTAAAAAAAGCGTACATATTGTTATAAAAAATAAATTATATGTAATAATAAGCTACAGGGAGAAAAAATAGCGGATTTTGGTTACAGTTTTTATACGTATTAATTTTTAGTACGTTTTGAGTTTCTTAATTATTTGTTACATTTTTAAGCCGACGGCTTTATAGGCAATGGTCAATAATCGAATAATAATTATAAACTATGGTTCATCTATGGTTACAAACATTGACAGCATTCATAATCCAAAACAAAGAACGAATGAGATGGGAGTTTAATTGACTTCACTTGTTCTATAATGGATAACGTAAATCAAGAAACATGAATGAAATGTAGTTAAAAACATTATAGTCGTTACTAAATAGGCCAAATTTGACAGCTAAAGAAGGCAATAGTATGTAACTTTGAATGCGAACAACGAAACAATAAACAAACAATGATTAGCATAATTGAGTTTTAAAAAAATACATACATTTTATTGAAACATCATATAATATGGCAAAACATTTGAAGTACTGTTTTTGCACGAATTCCAAAATAAAATCAATTTTAAGTTACTCCGAAAGATCCTGAAAACAGTTACGTCCTCAAACTATTTTTTTTTAAATAATAGTGTTGTAAGCAATTAATCGCCAAAGTTCACAAGTCATCAATCAGTCTCGGAAAAAATATTGACTTATTAAATGTTGAAACAGAAATGTATAAAAATAGAAATGTTTAAAAATTGGTGTATGTTGAATACTTATGTATATTACATCTCTGACCACACTTATTGCAAATAATTTTTTAATTTATCAATTATAACAACCCCGTACTCATAGCCAGATTTGTATTTCCTTATGAAATCCTTGTTTTCTAGGTAACTTAATCTTTTTATGTAGTTGTTTTATCGATGAACATACTTATTTACACTGAATTCTCGTAATAAACCATTTATGAATATTATAAAATCAAAATCAAAAGAAATGGATACAATTCATCGGAATGTGGGACAATTTCACGAAAATAAGAGGAATTGCCACACAGAATGCAAGGAATTCTGTAAATGAATTGCTTTTAACAGAATTGCACGATTTGGCCTTTTAGGCTCCCTGAACAACAATGAACCGAAAAATAATCTAAACAATCACAAACTCAAATTTTTAATCGATTTTTCGTGAAAATCGTATAATGTGATTACCGATATGATTAGTCCACACCCCTATTCGCGTCACGATGACAAGTGTCAAATTTGGCCTCTTATTTGGTAACGACTATAACATATGAAAACGTACTTCCAACCTTCTTTCAACTTCTATACTTTCACGTCAATAATCCGATCTAAGTGATCCACTAACTTTTTTTATCTATTTTGCCTACGAAATAAATATGTAGGTAGAAGGTATATCTTTGATACACAGAAATCTAAATAATTAGGCAATTAGATTTCTGTACTTTGATATAAGACAGTTCACATGTTCACAAAAAAATGTTATTTACATTGAACACGCATTTTAGTACTGGCAGTTTTTAGTACATCCCTAAGAACACTTAAATAAATCTGTGCATGCCTTGGCTGGAAAATTAAAGAAGGCCTCAGTCTTATACTTGAAGCTCCACAAATGCCCCCGACAATACCTGTAACGACAATAGGTTTTTATGAAACTAAGTCTTATTAGTCGTTTTTCAAGACCTTTGTCGTAATGAATTAACGTACCTAAATTAAATTATTTATCTACGACCATTCCAATCTGAAATAGTTTTGTAGATACAGGGCACCAATGATGTGCACATGTCGACGTGACCAATGTTATTTCAAAGATAGTGGGATTGCAGTTTATGACAAAAAAAAAACAAATTGTGTAAAATTTACATTACCTAATGCTAGATAAACAAAAAAAATCCCAGTTAAAAACGAAATGTAACCTTGTAGATACAGATTAATATTTAGATATCACTTTAAATAATAAATTGCAATGGGTTCCACAAATACTATATAAGTTGTTGAAACAACAACAAAAAACGAAACTTTCAGGCATAGAAAGTTTTGATTGATTTATTTTAGCTACTTCCACAGTGGTAACATACGGTATCTTCCTTTGGGGAAATACAGCCGACATTAATATAGATAATATTACGACCTACAGAAGCGTGCTGTTAGATCTTACCGTAACGAGTAAATTGGGCAAGAGGTTATTGTTTTAAAGTAGTTTTGGATGATAAGCGAGACAGCATAGTTAAAAAAATATACGGATCTAAATTTTATCAGTGATCAGAATGGCAATAGATTAGTACAAAGCCAAAGGGAAAGGGGCACAAACAGGACTTAAATTATCGCAGAATCAGAATCTTATAATTTTTTATATTAAATATATATATATAATATAAACTAATAACATTATACTACGAACGACGTAATGGACTTTTTACGCAAATATCTAGCCGATAGGTTTTAATGCACGCAAACAATCGTTACAACTGCAACGACGCGACGTCTAAATAGTTCTCTGGTGGTTGAATAAATGAACACACGCATAAATATGCTGCTAAAACCATAACCCTCCTGGTTTCACACTGTAATCGAAGTAGAATAGGGAAAACCAATCATTTGCGACGCGAAAACTCTTAGGGAGTATACAGCGTGAAATCGTTAAGTGTGCCCAGGCGATTATTCCGTAAATATAAGCGATATCAAAAACTTTAAAAGTATGTTACGTATTAGTAAATAGACATAAATAACTTTTGCCTCTACGAATGTCATATACATTTTTTTAACGTTACAATTTTGGATATTTCTAATTTTATTTTTAAAAAGTCATTACTTATTAGACTTGTACGTCTTGAAACTTATCACCGGTCCCCGATCAGAGTCGATTTTTCGCCCTTCGGATGCAGAGCTAATACGTTAAGTATCAATTTTCGTAGGGCCGAGTGCGCGAACTAAAATGTTGCATTAATGGAGGGAATTTCTTTTGCACTCGAGCATGATTTACAATTCACGTCGCGGGACTGGGGTTAATTCTTTAATTTCATACGTTAACACTTGTGACTTATAATTAAAATTATGCTCATTATCCCTATAACCAAAATGCAATGACTTAAAACGTCTATTCAAAATTTATTTTAACAAAACTGCACACAGTCTTTGTTAACAGCCACGGCGACTTTTTATAAGGATATTATGATCTGGGTAATTTTCAGGCTAGTTTTCTCTACCAGATTTCGGTGGCAACTGCCTCCGTGGCCGAACGGTTATCATCCTGGACTGCCACGCTAGAGGTCCCGGATTCGATTCCTGTGCCGAGAGAAATATTTGTATGGGCTATATTTATTTCACTCGTGAGTTTGTGTGTAATTTGTGGTCGTCTATGTGCGTCCATGGCACCTGCGATACAGGGTTTCCCTAGTGCGGGGCTATGAGTCTCGTTATTACTATTATGTATTTTAGACTCTGTTAGACTTATTATTATTATATTTATTATTATTATTATTTATTATATTAAATATTATACGTAGAATATTGTCATGAAGTATTATTTCATATTCGACTGTAGTAACCTGAAATATTATTGAATATTTCGCTATAATTTACTCGAATACATAAATAATAAACATTGCCACCGAAATTAGGTAGAGAAAGCTAACCTGAAAGTAACCCGTCTACTCGCAATATGCTCTAAGTACTCGCATTTAAAAAATATACTAATGTACTTACCATTGCTTAATAAATCTCTTTGTATTCGATTACGCATATCCTCGTTTACACAAGTAAACGCTAGCATTGTTCCTCTACCCCGCACATTGCTAATTAAGTTTGGGAATTCGATTTCCAGTTCATGGAGTCCTTTCTTGAGGCATATACCACTGTATCTCACCAATGAAAGCAAGTTTTGCGCACGTATGACATGCAGAACCTTTTCCAGCAAAATTAATTTTGACGGCTCTCCCGCCCACGTATTGAAAATTCGGTAAGGATGTGGAGCGCTATAAACGTAAAACCATTCTTAGTTGTAATTCAGCATATCAGTATTGCATATAATATAATGTAATATGATATGATATATGATATGATATGATATGATATGGTATGGTATGGTATGGTATGGTATGGTATGGTATGATATGCTATGATATGATATGATATGATATGATATGATATGGTATGGTATGGTATGGTATGGTATGGTATGGTATGATATGATATGATATATAATATAATACAATAATACAGTATGTTTATTAGGTACTTCCTCTATCTTCGCTATTCATAAATTGCTAACAAACGCCACAGTGTTCCTTTTAAATACAAATTAAAAATTTACCTACTATGCTTACAAGTGACTTTCTTTATAGTTATTGTTATAATCAAACTTAACGCTTATAAACTTACAAATATTCGGACGCAAAATAAAATCCACCAGTTATCATCTTTTTGCTAAAGACAACAATGTCGGGAGGTGATGGAAGGTCAAAGTGTTCGTGGCACCAAAATCTACCAGTTGGTCCACAACCAGTTTGAATCTCGTCTAAAATAAAAGCTATACAGTTCTGAAACAATCGATAAATACTTTCATAGACATTTTCGCTTTATACAATATACTATATATATATATATATATATATATATATATATATATATACACACATACATATATATACAACTCGCCAAACACCATCGGTTTAAAAAAATAATTTAAAATGAATCTATTTCTTAATTTGGTTCAACAATGTTCGATTAGGTTCTCTAATTAAGCAAATGTATGCTTATGTTGAGAACTCGATGAATGTCGAAAACAATATTTTTTAAATTTTAATAGTGGTCACACCACGATAATAAGCAGATTACTACAGTCAAGAGCACCTCAAGCTTGACGCTTTGGACCGTTCTTATCCTAAAAGGCTCACAGCCCCATATTTTTCTACATTAGTTTTGATTATAGTGACCCTCCCTACCGACCCTTAGGGTATACGAGAAGGGCACTACTATAACCTGTGCGTGCATAGCAGTGGCGATGCGTCCATATAACCCGATTCCCATCGGCTTGCCTAAAATTTTCCACGTGTTATCAAAAGATTCACTAGACAGCGCGCATACCGTACCACTTAAAAATGTTATATTCAACATTTCAAATAATTGATTAATAAACATGGTTAAGTCCTTGAGAATACGAAGTACTGTAGCCTTCCCGATGGATCTCAACCAATCAGCAGCACGAATAAGCCGGACATCGTTTCGGCTTTCAATTCATTCATGAAATCTATTCGCTCATATCAAAATACACGCACACTTTTGCAAAAAGCCATAGTAGAATACGACTTAATAATGGCTACCCTTAACTCGAAGATTATAGAGGTTGTTGTCGAATAGCATTCACGTCAATTTAAATCTTATTTCCACTTCGTACGGTTTAGTTTTAAAGACTAATGATTTCGGCAATAACCGCCAACTTACTGGAATAAACTTTAAGTTTGTCAGCTATGATATTAATACAACTAAATTCTAAATAAGATTTTAACTGTGCTTTAATCTGTGTCGTGCGTTCTACTTATAATTGTAAGTCAATGGTTCTACTCCATTTATTTGAGTAATAATTTTTATGATAATAATATTCTATATTTATCTTTCATTTATACTCGCGAGAATAAAAGAGACATAAGATTTCGTAATGTTTTTACAATTTGATATTGTTGGAGTCTGATTTGCCCGCGTATTTAATTATTACGATTACAACGTTGTTGTCTTAAAATTAGTGATTAAAATGAAAACAAGTGGGACATAGATTGAACTGCTGGTTCATTTCATAGAACAGTGAGTGTTGTGACGTGGGCTTCAAATAAGAAGCTTGCAGTGACCCCAGCATTTAAAGGATTAATATCTAAATATTTTTCTTTTAATGTATATGAATATGGGGATATCAATAAACCCACTAAAACGCTCAAGAATGTTAATGCTGACCCAGCAGGCGACAATAACATTAATGAAAGGTGCAAAAAGGTGTGCAAAATTATGGATACGTATATTACAGCTAATGTATGGTTCGTTTTTAAGTTATCTTTAACTTTAATACTCGTTTTTAAGTTAAAGATAACTTAAAAACGAGTATTAAAGAACTAAAGACTATTCTTATTGGTGTCGATTGCTTGCTATTGTATTGTATTGTAAAGAAGGAGGAGGAGGAAGAAGGAATTAAACTTTAAATGATTTCTTTTACATGTGAAGGCTTCAAATTATTTAACGGTTAGGAAATTAAACTATTTTTCCGTATTTAAATCGCGTATATTTGTTTTTTCAAACAAACCGATGTTTCGGGCCCTTTACAGGTCCCATGGTCACGAATGACCAGAAAAATAGTTTCATTTCCTATGTGTTGTTACACATAGAAAAGGAAACTATTTCGCGAAAACCTGAGAACTCAATATATTTACTGTTTTTTTTTGTGTTACTTACCTCTTTCATAAGTGAAATTTCGAACATACACTTGTAAAAGCCCTTGTAATGTTCGAAACGTTTTACGCTATGTTGTGGCTTTGAAAACGAGTCGGTCTGCGTTTATGACGGAAAAATACACTATCGAAATATGTTGCTATAATTACGATTTTAACGCTAACGCGTTCGATGCGTTTCTTGTGACGAAAAACTTACACTCAGGCTTACGTAGATGTTTGTGCGTTCGTGTTATTATAATAAAATTAGTAGTTGTAATTAAAAATTTTAATAGCAAAATTTGCTTCACCGTTAAATAAATATAATATATAATATAATAAATATAAAATATAGTAAATATTTAAAGTAGTTAATTTACTACATTTGGCACTCAATTTAACAGTGAAATCCAGTGTATCTTGTATTCTAATAAGTGTTACCAAGACTCCTTTTTAACGGGAAAAGAAGTTTTTGTTAAGCACTTTTAGTTTTGCTCCCGCTTTACTAACGGCAATTTTCACGCCTCGCCACTGGTGCACAGGAACCCTACAAGTTCAGGTTCTGACCCCTGATCAGTCAGTGTACAGGGTTGTCACAGCTTCTGTCACTGACTTCACCCGGTTCTCAAGAGGCTAGTGCCTCGGGTGGCCACCCCGGGTGCACGTACAGCACCCTCCCTATTTTCCAGATAGGTACCAGAGCTGTGGACGCCGCTCACTTCCCATTGCGCATTGCACAACCAGCGGTTGCCACCGCTCAGCCGTCGACTCTAAGTCCACTACCAAATCTGCTCATTGGTGGCGGAGCTGTAAGGCACGCACACTTTCCGACGTCGAAAAACGACGTCTTCCTAGTTCCCAATAACCTAAGCGGCTGGAGGGACTGGAGGATATCTAGTTTATCCTGTACTAGCTCTCCAGGCTAGTGCCGGTTCTTGTAGTTTGCGAACGGCTAGACAGCCACTGCTTAGAGGGCAGCAGATGTTTCTGTACTAAAATCTGTCTAAAGTACACAAAACTATGGAGCTAGTTTTTAGGTTATGCTCGAGCTTAAAGAGATAACTCGCTATAACCTGATTTTAACAGAAAATTAAAAAATTCGAATATTTTATCTTATGCTCTTGCGATTTATAACATATGTTCACTTTTCAGTTTGTGGGAAGTTTAATATGCCAGTTTGAATACCATGAAAAAATGTTGAAGTCGTTTATGTACCCCAAATTTGAAAGTTTAGACAGCAAAGAAAGGGGTTAATGACCATAGTTGTTATCTACTACATAGCTGAAAAATACTGTTTAACCTGTTTACAAATTTCCTGAAGCGACTTAAAGAAATCAGCCGAAGCTTCATTGTCACCACTTTCACATTGTATTGGCTCAATGATTAATGCAGCGATTGGATGTCCCTTATATTTGTAATTTTTTATTTGACAACACACCGTCTCAAGGCATCTGTAAGAAGAATTTAGTTAATAGACACGTATGTAGGTACTACACACAACAACGACGAGTGGATACTAAAGGTATTTTAAATAGGAAAATCATCAATTCCACAAATAAGGTGGGAAGGTACCTATCAACCTTACAAGTATCCAAAGGATCTAGTGTACTGTATACTAATGTATGCTTTAAATTTCCTATGGTGTAGGAAATTTAAAGCATATTACTATTATTAGTATAAAGGTGCGTTTAGATCTGACAAATCCGCTGTTTGTATCAAAGCATTGTTCAATCGCACCACATACGTAAAACACAACTCTTTCCTGAGCCTTTCGCAAACAGGCGCATTCGCGAAATTTGTACCCACCCTAACGTATTTTTTAGAAAGGCTTACAAAAACATTATTATGTACCTACATTTAGGTACTTACCTACCTCTCATCCTCTAGTTTGTTTTCCAAATTATGCTGAGTAAGAGGATATTTGTATTTTGGGAAATCAGCTACAGGCCAATTAAATGCCGGAATGTCCAATTTATGAATAGCTTTTGATCTAGTCGCAGATAGCGCTCCAAATGTTCGCCCATGGAAACAACCCTAAAAATGTAGGCAAATCCTCGATTACCTATAGCTAAATAATGTAAAAAATACTTTTTTGACAATTTTCAATTGGCATATTATATTTCCAGACATATCTTTTTCAGTCTTTAATGTAAGCCTTTCCCAAAAAGGACAATTTGCTATTTACGCTTAGCACTTGGAAGATCGGCGACCAGCGGAAAATAACGGCACTCTTATAATATTGAAAACTAAGATATATTGTATCTACCAAGATTTTTTGCTCTAGGTTTGCCAAAGCGCGTGGAAAAACAACCCGGCATTGGCCATATTAGTAATCGGGAAGTGTTCTAATGAATGTCGTCAGCTTACAAAATGTGTGTTGAATTACAGAAATAAATTGTTCATTCTATAACATTTCTCAACTATTTTTTTTACTTAACCTCGAATAATTTGCATTGAGAAAACCACGTGCATAAAATACTGAGAACGCAGACACATACCCGAAAAGACAACACAGATAGCTTAGCGGATCCTGGTGGTTCATTGCACATTACAGTGTCTAGTTCAGCTTGTGTGAATTGTATAGAATTTCCTCTTTGTAATTTACGATACGCATAAAACGCAACCTTCAAAGCATTCTCAATAGAACAAGCGCCGCACATCATAGTATGCACATGTGTCATGCATTGTGGTGCACAACTTAAAAGCACTTGTTCTAGTTTGTCAGGCCAGTCCCTTGGAGGAAATACGCTAAGTGCCGGACGATTGATTAAGGCATTCTGTAAATGTTAAACATTGCTTTTTACTGAATGTAATAATAGTGATATAATAATAAAATGTCATAATAATAACGCACACACTCAACATAACCCCGCACTAGGGAAACCCTGGGTCGGGGGTGCCATGGACACACACATAGACAACCACAAATTACACCCAAACTCACGAGATAAATAAATGTAGGCCCTACAAATATTTCTTCCGGCCTCGAAATCGATCCTGGGACCTCTGCGTGGCAGTCCCGCATGGTAACTGTACGGTCACGGAGGCAGCAATTATAAGCAAATGATTGAACGTAGGGCTTAGATGAGGAAAACAGGAGCCCAAACCAGGTAAATCCTATGGTACACCTGGCTACCCCTCTCAGTAATAGCACCATATATTTGATACAAAATGAAGCAGAAAATCTCTTTCTATTTACCTAGAGTCAAACAGGAGGCAAAAAAAGTAAGAAACATATAAGTGGTAAATAGCAACTTAAAATTAGTTATGTATGGTATGGTAATAAACTAACTATGTTATAAGGGTTACTGCTGAAAGCGTTGATAAGTTCAGGATGATTGTATCCAAGAGGTAGTGACGCTATTTGTGTGAACACGTCTAAAAGCATATTTCCATCCGCATCCGCCAAATAATTTCCCGCACTTTTATCATAATCGGCAAATAATACCACGGATCCAGCTTGCTGTAATAGATAGTATAGGTATAAATACACTATTACGAAATAGGTATATCTAGCATCATCATTAGCTGCAAAACCTTAAGTTATAGTTAATAACACTCTTAAAAGTAAATCTTAAATCAAAGCTTGCACAATGAATTTGTCAATGACGGAATGAAAGGAATTTGGTTCGAAATACAATATTACGTGGCACAGCGCCTGCGTTGCGGCCCGATGCACAATCATCTGATTACCAACTTTGCTTCGTAGGTACTTTTTCTGAGCTTATGAGTGATATAAACATGATAATTTTTTATTTACTACAATAATAATATGAAATTTACTCTTAATTAAGCTGTCTCGTACTTTAGTTCCAAATTTACATAGAAATTCAGATAAGTAGCTTTTGCGTATTTCAAAAATTGGGATCATCTACAAGGACGCGTGCTAATAATGATAGTTACTTCACAATGTGTCAGATCTTGGTCAATTTAAGTTGAAGTTGTGGGCTTTATGGTATAAATATAGAATTAAATATAAATCGTCATGAATATTCTTGAAAGTGCTCTAGTGATCATCGTAGTTCTTGTAGATACGCAATTCTGCTTTGCTCTTGGTTATGTGAGGATGTTCTAAATTGTCGGTAATCCAACAACCACTGCTAGGGTCCTAATATGGTTTCACGGATAAGCTGTCGTTGGTTAGGGTGGAATTCTCTGTGAAATCGTGAACCCGTTGGCGCGTTCTCAACAAATACGTAATAAGCTAGCACCATAAACGCATAACCCCGGTTCGGGAGCCATCATGCACCACTAAAACAGCCTCTCACATAACCTCACCGGTAGCTTTTCGCAGGTAACTGAAGCTTGGCGAAGGGGTATACGTTGTCGTCAGCTCTCATCTTACAATACGGGATTTCGAAACCCATTCGAAAATTTGTTTTGAATTGAAAAGAATAATAATAATATCAGTCAACCGTGACTATGGGACCTGCAAAGGGCCCTAAACGTTGGTTTGTTTGAAAAAACAACTCGCGCGCGATTCAAATCCGGAAAAATAGTTTCATTTCCTAAATAATAATACTTTTTTATTTATTTTAGTAATATACCGTACTTCAGGACGGTACCTATTTAATCTATATCTATTGATATACACTTTTCTTAACACTGTAATATTGGTAATCATTCCCTTACCTATGACTTACTTAAGCGGGTTATGTACTCACTAAATGTTTTTTATGTCACGGGACAAAATTGTAATAAGTAATTGTATCAACAACTGTTACTTGGCGATTCCCTTTGAAATCTCAAAAAGGACCCATTTTAACCAAAATGTTACTAACGTCTCAAAACTTTACATTCATGAAGTTTTCGCAGAGTTTCTACACTTACGGGGTATAAACTTCAAGCCTCGAGCTATTGTCAATATAAAACACAATAACTATGGTTAGGATAGCATCTTAAAGCAACAAAAAGACGACACATTCACGGAAAATTTCATACCGTCATGTTACAATCACGCTTAAAACTAAGTGTTTAGTGCAATATTCACCTGGATTCTATTAAGTTGAAGATATAATACTTTAGACCTTGGTCCCGGTACCGGAGTTTTCAGTATTGGTCCATAAGGTTCTCCTGTTATACACGCCAATTCATTTGAGCCGTCGTGGCAGGCACAGTTCAAAAGATCTGTCAAAAAAAGTTGATAGCACATGAAACTTTTGAAATCTGCAACATGTATACGAAATAACTTAAACGGCTGTAAAGTAAGCTTACAAGCAGTAAAATAATATACTTACGATTATTACATAATAATTTTCTTGTTAAAAATAAACATTTTCTCCGGAACATGTTTGATATTGTTCATGGAAAAAAATACGAAGGTGTTATAATTATAGTACTCAAAAATTCTGTGAATTAGACAAAATATATATTTTTAAAATATATTATGTAACAAATAAATTCATATAAAGTGCAATATTTTATTACTACACAAATTCCTCATCATGTCAGACTTGTGATGAGCTATGGATCAAAGAGTGATAGATTGGCTTGTCGATTGGTTATCGAATTTCGAAATTGTCATAGACGCATGCAGTTTGTTCAACTTTGTGATGTTTGTTTTGGTGCCATTGACTTACTTTGGTGCTCTCAGAATAATCACTGTCCAGATCAGCACTGTTCTGGGTTTATATAATACGATTTTGTATAGTATCTTGTGATGTGAGTCCTTAAAATTAGATCGAGACGCGGTATGGAAATATCGATACAGCGCTTGCAGCGGGATCATTTTCACGCCATAACACAAGGAGCACACTTTACACGCCTCAAAACTATTATATCTATAAATGGTTTTAGAAAAAAGAAATTGCTCTTATAGACTTATTTCACTCAAGTCAAAATTTTAAAACCTTCATAACTCTTAATTTGCGGAAGTCGCTGATTCGAGACGGACCCATTTCCGGTTCTTATGGACGGCTAATTAACTTCCGCAAGTTAAGAGTTAATACCAAACAACTTAATTAAGTGTGATCTCTCTTAAGATTTACTCTTATAGCTCTTATTTTAAGTTCATCTATAGATCAAATGATTATTTTTAGTAAAATTGTTCTATACACATCCAATTAAGACTATTAATACACTAAAAACCAAACTGTTCTTAAGTTTATTCTAGATATATTTCATTTATAGACATTCTGTAGTGTTTATGCTTATTGACAAACACGTTATAGCGCGTCTTCAGTAGATTTTATTTAAAAAAAATACTATAATTAGGGTTTTTACTCTATTGGACGTAGTAAGAGTTCATGCAAAACGGATAAAGTAAAGAATATTAAAAGATGTGGTGAAGATGGTAAATCTTGAATATTATGTCACATCATTCGATACATTAGTCGGTAATTCGCGCGCGAGCCGGTCATGCTGCATTTTTGTTTGTTGACAAATAAACAAACATTGTGAAGTTATTCCGTGTTCTGAAGTAATAAAAAAATGAAATGGGCGCGTAAACTACTGTACTTCAATGTTGTGTATGTGTATTGTGCCGTCTATCAATAGAATACAGTGAAATCATTGTGTGAAATGTGGTTGGCGTGAAGACATAACCTCAATTTTGTAATGAAAATTTTGTTTCTTCCAACATAACTTAAGTATGTCATTGAAATATACCTTATCTGATAGGGAATTTATCCACCTTGCTAGGCATATATAACACATTCCATATAATTATACAAACTAACGTTTTTTTGCAACAAATTGACTTTCTTAAATTGTTTTTTTGACCTTGTGTGACGTGTGAAAGGATATTTATTTAAAATGCTCATCATTCATTACTCCATAAAAAGGTTTTGTAATACTGTCAAAAGAAAAAATCGCTTTGAAACATCGCGTTTTGTAGACAATTATAAAAGCGTCATAGAAGTGAATATTCTTCTACAAGATCAATTACAATAAAGGAAGTAAAAATAATCTTTTCGTGTTCTAATCGTTTCGTGATAAAGCTATAGACAAAATGCTCCAACAGTGTTTTGAAAAAAGCTTTAAATTCTTATCGCCATTTTTATTTTTAAAGAATGACTATGATGTAGCCGAGAAAAATTTCTTTTCTTTTAAAAAATTAAATCTAAGTTGAAATTGGCGTGAAGAAGCCTAGAACTTCTTGGAAATAGTTTGTTCTGTGAGTTATTTTGTATATTTAAGCTTTCTATAAATATTTAAAACCGAAAATCAATAACTGTATTTTTATTACATTTATATATAAACATAAATATGACAGTTTTTTCATTACTTTTCACAATGTATTTAAAGTCGCACGTCAATTCGCGCTTTCTAAACGATTAAACATTGCGCGAAAAACTCAGAAATATTATATCTAATTTCGCCATGTTGCAATTTTGATAGTTTATATTTTGTAAGCCATTAAACTTGAAATCTATTAGTATTAAGTGAATTGTGTCTTATATTTGTAACGTTTTTGTTACTTTGGTTCTAAAATAGCATTACTAAGAAAACTATCATAGACTATAAATTATCTAAAAACTGTCTACAAGGCTAAATCCTGTCTACAAATGGTCTTGTAGCGTTCTAGAAGGGTTACTTGAGAAAAAAGATAAGAATCACTACCTACAGATAATTTCTCAAAGCACTCTTGTGATCTACTAAAAAACTTGTGCCCACTTTTACTTTAAATTATATAGAAACCTTCTTCAAGATATCTTGAGGGAATTTGAACTCTTAAAATGTACAATCGAATTAAATTCTATTAGATATCTTATAGTACATATTTAGATATAGATGTGCTGCTTGGGAACTTCGAAATTATATATTTTGTTAACTGACGTGTAAACGGGAACATGGGACGGGAACCAATAGTCGACGATCATGATAAAGTATATCCCGGCTAATATTTCTCGAATCAACGCCGATTTACAAGGATTATTGGGTCGGTTAAAATCGGGAGTGTTACACGAACTAACGCGATTCGAACTCCCAGCTTAATAACAGACAACCAGCCACAACCAGCAAAGGAAACCAAAATATACTTGAAATATCAGGTAGGTTAACTCTGGCAGACGAAATCTTGTCGAGAATCTATGGGTAGTGGATTGAATTTGAATCTTAAAGCAATCTCCGATTAGGGCGATGATAATTTTGTCAAATTCGCTAACAATTCGCAGGCGTGTCTATTTTCCATTAAACGGAGTCCCTTTGACCTAATTTTTCGTGACTTGACAGCTTAGCGGCAGAAACAGGGAAGATGGCAGCACTTCCCTAAATGAACTCTTTCACGAGTAACTCTACTGCTACTACAATGCCCAATGCATACCGATGACTGACTGTCTCGTCTTCTTGGAATGGACCCGTCATCCAATGTGAATTTTAATTCATTAATGTTGCCTGGCTATCGATATTCTACAGGATATTATATCACGGAGAGTGTGCGATTTAATTGCATGATTTGATTTCGCCTTCCCCTTTCCATCATCGGGAGACTAGCCGCTAACTACCTGGTGTTCAACCCATGTTGTGGATATTCCAAGGTTTCGCACGAAGCGTTTTGCTTCCACATGTATATGGCGAACGGATATGGAGTGGAATTCTCTGCCTTCAGATTTATTCCCTGAACACTATGACTTGGGCCTTTCCAAAGCGAGAGTGAATAGGTATTATTTGGGTGTGCATGCTCCATCGTCAACATCATCACTGTACCAGGGGTGATGCGAGGTCAAATGCGCTCTTATTTTTTTTTATAAAAAAAGAATCGATCGGACGATCGTGGATGGGAAAGAAGAAAACCTGACCCAACAATGTTCAGTCCTATAATACGAACCCAGTATCACGTAATGTATTGCCATTCAGAACTAATAAAAAACCAATGATCTAAATGTGCGAAAGTGCATCTTCCCAGAGTGTTGGTTATGTTCTTCTGTGTATTAGGCATTCTCATTTGCCGCCTGAAATGCTTGATAACTATAGTGGTGCCAGTAGTTAAAAATAAAACGGTGGATATTGCCAGTCATTAAAATTACCGTCCGATATCGCTGGCCACAGTTGTTGCTAGGGTGTTGGACAGTCTGCTAGAGAAATATTTGAACATGCACGACGCTCAGTTCGGCTTTAGGCCAGGGCTTCCCACAAAAAGCGCCATTTTATGTCTTAAGCAGACTGTCCGATACTACACAGAAAGACGCACGCCGTATAAGCCTGTTTTCTTGATCTTTCTAAAGCTTTTGACCTGGTGGTTTATAATATTTGTATATAATGTATTATGTTTATTTTATACCGTATAAATTAACCATAAAATTTAGGCTTATGATATTTTTTTCTGTTTTAAGTGTAGCACCTACCTTTTGTTTTTTTTTCTGTTTGGCCCAATGGTTGACTGGTAGAGAATGCCTTATGGCATTAAGTTCGCCATTTGTACATTAATGTATTGTGCAGAAAGATTAAATAAATAAATATTCTCTGGGACAAGCTCGAGAAGGCAGGCGTACACACGGACCTGATAAGTGTGCTAAAGTGCAGGTACACGAACCATCAAAATAATGTGAGGAGGGAGACAGGGGGGGTTGGCCTCGCCAAAGCTCTTCAACCTGTACGTAAACGAGCTGATCGTTGGACTCGGCAGTAAGCATGTCGGATGTATCGACGGCGTAACATAATAAATAACATCAATTATGCCGACGATATAGCGCTGCTGGGTCCAGCGGCGGACTCAATTGCGAAGCTCCTTCGGTTTTGTGAGCAGTATACGAGTACGCATGACCTTGTAAGGTCGAACGAATCATGGACAGTTTAAGGATATTTTTTGTTTTAGTCTTTTAATTTCGATGAGTTATCCTGTGCAACTCGAGGAAAGGTTTAATTGATCAAAAAGTCTTCAAATAACGCTTGAAAGTGCTTTACTCATATCAATTAATAAAGAAAACATTGTTATTCGAGAAAAAGTAGACCCGGAGTATCCTTATATGGACAGCCCAATTTCCAATTATGGACACCCCGTCATGGACGGTTTTCAGTCATGGACACCCCGTCCCCGACACCTAAACATGAACGATCAACTATTTAGCCAAATTAACAAATTCAATCATAAAAAACGAGTTCTTGCATGGTACTTAAACTTATATGTACTTATATTCATATGACCCATTTGTGACTGGTAACAATGGGTGGTCATTCGATTCAGTGCCAGCAGTAAGCGGACACTGTTTCCATTACAGTGTAGACTTAAAATAATGTAACAAGCTATAAACTAAATTAAAAGTCTGGCTTATAAAGACGGTAAAAACAAGTAAAGCTCTTTATTGATAAAATCCGATTATGGACAAAAATGTCCATGATTGGGTAAATAGCTAAATGAGATCCAGTAATAC